GCACTTCAGAGGACCAGAGCACAGAGTGCTGTCCTCTGAAGATGCCGGCCACAGAGACTGGCGAAACGTCAAAAAGAACAACCTTCAGAACACGGCCAAAGAGCGCGAAAAACCCAGAACAACCATGTTTGTTTGTTTGTTGAACTTCTATGCACCTGTAGCGTTCACCCTTGTTATGAAATAATTCATGTATTATTCATGAGTTATATGTTAATGTGGTTAAGAGGTGGGGCTGAAAGAGATCTTAAAAGGCGGAGCCTGAGCAGAGAGAGTCAGAATCTGTGTTAGGAATCAGGGAGAGAAGGATAGTTTGGGGTCTGAGGAGAGATTAGTCTGAGTGTAAATTGTGATAATAACTATAGAAGGTTAATATTGAAGCCTGATGAAACTTGAAGACTGTGCTTATGAATTGTTCCAGAAACCCACTGTAATCAATAAGCCTGTTTTATAAAAAATCAGTACTGAATGGACCTTCATCTTTTCTAAGTAAAGTTTGTTGATATGGAGATCAACTGGTGGCAGTGTGTCAAGAGGTGTTTTGGTTTGCCTTTGTGAGCTCTGTGTTTGGGTAGACAAACTGGGGCCACGAGGGCAGACATCACAACACCCACTACAAGGCCAGGCCACTCTGGGCAGCTTACACTAAAACACACACACACACACACACACACACACACACACACACACACAGAGAGAGAGAGAGAGAGAGAGAGAGAGAGAGAGAGAGATTGTCAAGTTACAACCATCAGAAGAGGGAGACACAGGATAGAAGGTGTGAAATCATAACAATGCAACTACTATGTTTATAATCTGCTCCATTATAACTGACATTATAATTCATTATAATTCAATCAATCTCTTTAAAGATTTTTCAAACAAACAAAAAAATCTCATGCAAACTTACTCATTCCCATGGAAACCCAGGACAAACTTGCCTCCGACAATTTGATATGAGGTTTAACAAGATCTTCTACAGTTACGGCAGCTAATGCATTGATGCTGGAAGACACTGTACTAAGGGATATAAAACAAACACATTTAACTTCTCTCCATTGATTAAACCTTGGCAAATATTTAAACACCAAGACAAGGTGTGAGCCAGGAGGTAAGTGGGGGTCACCGCTCGCTGGAGTGCCGTCCATTCCCACCAAAGAGATAGAAAAAGGAGGAGGAATGTAGACTCCCGGTGACTCCAGAGAAAGCCCCAGAGGAGCCCCAGAAGAGGAGGAATTATCCCAGGGCTTGAGGGGGATGGGAGTAAAGGAACAGCAGGAAAAGGAAGTGGAGAGAGGGAGGAAATAGAAGTGGGTGAAGGGGAAGTGATAGAAAAAGGAGAGACATTACCTCCAGGTTGGGAATGGATCTGGTTGCAAGATCCTTAGACCCAGAAGTGAGAGAGACTGCAGGTGCCTAGGGAAGAGGCAGACCATAGGAGAAGGGTGGTGATTCCTCCCAGACCATCTTACTGGGGAGAAGCAGAAGCTAAGGAGTGGAGGAGGAAGTTAAGAGAAGAAAGAGAAAGAGTAGAACAAGAGAGAAGGGAGAAGAGTGAATGGCGAGCGTGGGAGATGATGAAGATGATAGACTGAAGAAGGCTTGGGAGGCACTGGAACCCGGGGGATATCCCAAATGGGGAGATGCGTCCGTGCCCCTGTTGCCTGTACAGACAGGAATGACAATGAAGGAATAGTCGCCAGCAAAGCTGCTAAGACCATGGAATTCTACTTTTGGTAACCTCTTTGTTTTAGAGGATTGGAAGGCCCTTCCCACCACGTTGGAAGAAGGAGAAAGAAGCTATGTGTCAGTTCAAGACAATGGCTTATTTGTTAGTCCAAAAATAATATCCATCGTTACCAATGTAAATAGTGTCTGGTGAGGTTATAGGGTAAAGGGAAGTATCCCGAGATTGTCACATCAAACCCTCACACAAGGATTGGGAAGAAACAGAGCTGTTCAAAGCACTTGCAGCAGAAACATGAACCTTGCGCAAATGAACAGTTCAGCATAACCTGATTACCATAGGTTGTTGTACTGATAAATGTTGTTGTTTAGTCATTAAGTCATGTCCAACTCTTTGTGACCCCCATGGACCAGAGCATGCCAGGCCCTCCTGTCTTCCACTGCCTCCCAGAGTTTGGTCGAATTCATGTTGGTAGCTTCGATGACACTGTGCAACCATCTCGTCTTCTGTTGTCCCCTTCTCCTCTTGCCTTCACACTTTCCCAACATCAGGGGTTTTTCCAAGAGTCTTCTCTTCTCATGAGATGGCCAAAGTATTGGAGCCTCAGCTTCAGGTTCTGTCCTTCCAGTGAGCACTCAGGGTTTATTTCTTTAAGAATGGATAGGTTTGTTCTCCTTGCAGTCCAGGGGACTCTTGAGAGCCTCTCCCAGCACCACAATTCAAAAAGACGGGTTACTTACCTGTAACCATGGTTCTTCCAGTGGTCATTCTGTGAATTCACACAATAAGGGGTTAAGTCAGCGCCTGCGCTTGTCTTCTCGGAATATTCCAGAGCTCTGCAAAGAGAAACATTGTCAATACTATCTATACTGCGTATGCTCCGCCCGCCCAATCCTCGTCATACTTGACAGGTGTGCAAAATGCTGAATCGTGCATTCTGGAATGATGCAATGTCCACACTGATTGGCTGTGCATGTGTATAGCTGTGTGGACATGTGGAGAAGATGTACGGATCTCTTCTGATGAGAGTCATGCTTCATGCTTCCGGTTTGTACTGCTGCACTTCGGAATATACTGTAAATACACTTGGTGTTGGAAGAAGCTGTCTTTGTCTGTGTGAATCAATTGGACTGCCTGGACTGGTACAAAAAGTCTGCTAACTCACACCAACACTAGGTTTGTCATTGCTTTCCTCCCAAGAAGCAGGTGTCTTTGAATTTTGTGGCTGCTGTCACCATCTGCAATGATTGTGGGGACCAAGAAAGTAAAATCTGTCACTGCCTCCATATCTTCCCCTTCTATTTGCCAGGATGTGATGGGACCAGTGGCCATGATCTTTTTATATATATATATTTTGCGCTCTCCTCTTTCACCCTCATTAAGAGGTTCTTTAATTCCTCTTCACTTTCTGCCATCAGAGTGGTATCATCTGCATATCAGAGGTTGTTGATATTTCTTCCGGCAAGGCCTCGTTGGACAGCCATTTTGCCCATGATTATTCTTGCTTGCACATACAGTAAATGTCAAATATGATTCTGGCCACTGATTCTATTTGTGTTGAGAGCTGGAAATCTTATCAAATAGCAAGTTTTTTTCATGAATTAGGTGATAAAGTGGTCTGAATTAGCACTTCAGATATCAATGAGGGAAGGTACTTCGCAGAAGAACAGATACTTATGGATAGAGTTGTATTTTAAAAACAATTGTTTACAATTAAACATGGACTGGGAGGAAGTTAATTAGGACTAGACTTGACTAATGTGTTAAACACCAAATGCACATACGATTTTTGTCAGGATTACAGTAAGACAAATAACACTTGCCTCTTAATCCAAATTGTTATCCCAGTTAAATGTAGCATGACATTTGGCTCCAGAAACCATAGCTGATAATGAAACTACTGGCTATATGCAATTTGTTACAACTTACAACATCATAATTCAAGCTTACCTTAACGTGCCACTGTAGGTCCCAGCCACAAAAAGTCCTGGAATACCTGGAAAATCTCCCAAAATGTCTAGCACTAAATATGGCATGAGCTAAAAGGGGGAAAATCATGATTGGGAAATAGCAAGTTTTCATTTTATTCTCTCCATCAAATACATTAGAAAAATCTAAATTTAAACATTTTAACTTTAGCTCCATTATAATAGCTATCAACATATACAAACACAAACATTTATTTATTTAAAATATTGATATGCCACCTTTTTCCTGAAGGATCCAAGGTAGCGTACAATATTTAAAAGAAACAGTTAAAAGCCAAATAATAAATTATTACAGTATTAAAAACATTAAAGAAATATATCTCATACTATTACAGTATTAAAAACATTAAAGAAATATGTATCATACTAACAATATTAAAAACACAAGTAAAACACAGAATAAAATGTTCACTTAAATATCTTTATTACAAGATAGCAAGATACCAGAATGGTGGAAGAGTCTTCCATTTGCTGGTAGATTAACTGTGATATAATCTAAGACACAATAATACTTTTTGAACAGAATTAGACTGGCAGTTCCCATGTACTGTATCCTAAAATGGACTAACATTAAATACACAGATTAGCACTTTGAAAACAGAATTACAAAAAGAGTTCACAGTAAACTAGGAATAAAACCACAGTTGTTTCAAGCTTCCAATTATGTAAGAAAATTAAATTCTTTTTAAAAAACCTCCAGTTTAAGGATTTTGGATATTTTGCTTCTGTACTGATGATTTAAAAAGCCAGGAAATAGCCTGATACTGCTGAACAATATTGTGCCCGTGTTGCCAGCAGGGAAAAGGATGGCAAGCTTTACAAAGCAAAGGGCAGCCTGAATATCGACAACCATGACAGGAGTCAAGATGGACTACAGCAGAGGTCCCCAACTCCCAGTCCATGGCCTGGGGCCGGTCCATGGCCTGAGCCAGACCGGGCCACGGAGACAGACCTCCTGCTGCCCAAGCCAGACCGGGCCGCGGAGATAGACCTCCCGCCGCCCCCCTGCACGCACTCACCCCTGCACAGCTGATTTGAGCATGCGTCTAAACTCCAGTGCGCCTGTGTGAGTGCCGCATGCCCTTTTGCACATATGCGGCCATGTGAGTGCTGCACCGCCATTTGTGCATGTGCACGAGCACACTTGCCATGCCACTGTTTGATCTGTTTTAAATCTGGGGAAATTTAAGGTTGTTTGATTCTGCATGGGAGTTAAAACAGTTTTACTTTTTTAAAAATCATAAACTGAAAAACATTTGCCAACATTTCCCCAAATCTGGTACAGAGCAAAAGCAAAAAGCAAAACAAAGCGTGCTGCTTGTATACCGAGCACTCTCTGGGCGGCTTACATGTTAATTATGCAGGCTACACATTGCCCCCCCCCAGTAAGCTGGGTACTCATTTTACTGACCTCAGAAGGATAGAAGGCTGAGTCAACCTTGAGCCGGCTACATGGGATTGAACCCCAGGTCGTGAGCACTGTAGTACAGCAGTTTAACCACTGCGCCACGAGGCTCTCTCACAAGAGCAAGATACAAATGCTACATCTGTGCAGTCCAGTTTCAAAGTCATAATGTTTTCTTTGGACTGCCCCCATTTTTAGAATTGTCTCATAGAATGCTGATTTGATCCACTGCACAATAACATCATTGCACTCTTGTGCAGTGACAATTATCTTACTCCCACTACAGAAAATTAGTTACAGTATTTCTTAAAGTAAGAACTTGAATATATATTGTACAGTAGGAATAAGAAAATGCTTAAGTAATAATATATGTGATAGTATGTGGTTAATAATCATTTTCTCTAACCACAGGTCCAATTTCTGTCAGAATCCCTTAAGTGTTTCTATTTGATTGATTTTACCAGACTGCAGGCATTTTTATTTAGGCAGTTTTGGTTTGAGAACCAATTAGTATATGCAGTGTCAAAAATACATATGAGAAACGTAAGTCAAATCAAGACTTTGTTGTTTAAATCACTGCTTAGAAAGTAAAATAACTATGGCTATGGCCTATGTACCATGTAACAGACCAAAATATGATCAACAGAAGGTGACAGGTAGAGAAGTACATAGTAATATTTGTTCACATTTCTTTTCTTTCAGGTTCTTTCTGGGGGTGCCTCTTTTGTTTTTGTGTTCTCCATGCACCAGCCATTTCATTTTATATTAGAGATACCGCCTATTTCAGATTATTTCATTTTGTTTTTTCTTGTTTGTGTTTTCTGGCAAAAAAAAGCCTCAAAGGAGCCATGAAAACTACTTCAGAAAAGCAGAAGCAAGGCAAAAGAGAATCAATATACTCCAAAAGCAGGCAATAATAAATGGCCTCTGGAGCATTCACACAGCATAGTGGCATATTGGCACAGTCACAAAGACCACCTCACCCAGCCCACATATTCCCGGAGGCAAATAAAACATCCCCCCCAAACTCACCAAAATATACACTTTTAATGACACAAATACACAGTAAATTAACCAAATAACAATTTAAAATACCAATCTAACAGGGAAAGCACATCCTTACACACACAGACAGACAGACAGACAGACAGACAGACAGACAGACAGACAGACAGACAGACAGACAGACACGCACAGAGCACACACATACATATATAGGCACACACAGGGAAAGAAACAGCAAAACAAATAAACCCACAGAGCTCGCTCTCTTAAAAACCATGAAAGCAAGCAAGCAAATTACGGCAAAAAAGAATCATCTCCAATGAAAACTACTAGAATACAGGCAGAGTTTTCTTCCCCCTACCATGTGATTTTCTTATCTTCTTTGAATCTGGTAGGCAGCAGAAATAATTCAAGAAAGAAAATGACAAAAGAGGGGGAAATCCAAAAAAATGATCCTAAGGAGGAACCCTGACACAGGTAGGCTTTCTGGTGGCAACAGCAATAATAATCCAAATCAATAGTGGAGAAAAACCAAAAATCAAAAGGATCCAAGATGGAGTCACAGAGGCAGGCAGCACAATGCAAGATGGATAGCATCAGCAGCTTGCACCAACAAGGTACTGAAGCAAAACAAATACTCCTGGTTCCCATCAATAAAGGCTTTTTGTGAAGAGTCAAAATTTCTGCTTCTCTTCCAGATGTTCTGACTAAAGGCTGACAGCAGCTCCTGTGACACCAAGGGATAAAAAAAGCTTCCCAGGAGTTTTAACTGACAAAGTGGAGAAGAAAGATTAAACACATAGCATTTGTGTACTCCTTTTGTTAGTATAAATCGTTTGCGTTTAAGAGGCTCTTTTTCACAATCAACAAAAGAACACAAAATGATAAATGAGCACCTCTTTCATATTTTCCCCCTTTCTTTCTTTTGTTTAAGTACTAAATACCCATGCCTAATGATGGACTGAGAAAAGCCTTGACATCAGATCTTTAAATATGATCACTTATATTTAAGGCAGCCTGTAAGACTAGTTGGGCTCATGATGTTAAAGCCTTTAAAGACAATTATCAACATTTGGAATTTTGCCAGGACATGAAGAAGCAGACTGAGCAAGATGGAAGCATGGGTAAATAGATGTGATATATTCCATTTTGCTGTTTTTTAACTGCCACACTTTGCACAAGCTGCAAATTCTAAGTGGACATCCAACTCAGATCTGCATATAGAGTATCAAGGTAGGATATCTGTGAGGTTAAATAACAGTTATCAATGGCAAGCCTCTTGCTCTGCAAAAAGGAATGCAGCCTGTATATATCCTGATCTTTTCCATCATCCCAGTACAGACACAAAAGGAAAGGAATGTGGACATTCACAAAGTGCTGAAAATGGTATCATGAATAACATTTTAGAGTGGATTTAGCTACCAAATAGAGATAGTGAGCTGCCATTTCTAACTGTGGTCATTGTACTGCAACAGGCAATTCCTGTTTTCTTCAGAAACAAAGGAGTTGCTTTGTTATTTTTGTTTTCATTTTTTGTCCTTTATTTCAAGTAAAACATTGGATTGCTTGGCTCTGGAAATTTATAATGCATTAATTATGTTGATCATTAAGAGCTATTTAATTAACACTTATGATCTATTTAAAATTGAGACCTACCAAAAACTAAATCAGTTACACTGAGGATGCAAAAAAGGAGATCAAATCTACATTTATTATTTTGTATTTTACTTCTTGTATTAATACTAAACCTGATCTGGTGCTGATACATATTTTGCTGTCCATGGGTCACAATCCTTGTATATAGAATATATTGAAAGTCCACTCATAACTGCAGAAGATAGTGTTATCCAGAGTCCCACAAGATTTAAATATAGAGCACTGCAAAAAAAGTTAAAGAAAACTCAAGGAAGTCTTGTGCTTATTGAACTTACATGAAAACAAAGCAGTATTGCCATATTATACATTGAAGCACCATACAGTATTCCTGAACACAAAGTTGCCTCTGAAGTTGGTCTATTCTGTCTATTTGAATATGGGTTTGGAGATGGCACATATATATTAAATCTACTTCTGAAAATCTCTTTTTGTAATTGTGGATTATGCTTGCTAACTGGTGTGACTTTAAATTGTACTAAAAATTTAAATAATTACTATCTAATTTTATATTATCATGATTTATTTAATCACAAAATAGAAATACAGAAATCATTCACTTTAACAGCTACAAAACATGAGGAATGTTTTTGATGAAAAACAGAATCTGCCAAAGAGCAAGAAACAATCACTTCAGCTGAGAGACGGGCCGGGATTGTGTGAATTCACAGATGACCACTTGAAGAACCATGGTTACAGGTAAGTAACCTTTCTTTCTTCATCGTGGTCTTCTGTGAATGCACACAAAAGGGTGATTAGCACGTTTACTCACCAGATGGTGGGCTGTCACTGGAGGACAGACGTCAGCACCGCTCTCCCGAAACTTGTCTCCTTCTTGGCCCTCAGGTCTAGTCTGTAGTGAG